ATCCTTGTTAATTACACAACATTGATTGGTTTAAATTGTGTACAATGCTTTTGTATTTTCCCCTTTCGATTCGGAGAAACAAATATGTGTTCGGAGTGTGTGGATGGTAGAAGACACTACACTACCCAGAATCCTCAGCTATTGTTCCGCTTTGCCTCAAGCTCTGTGATTGGTTGACCTCCAACTGCATTCCAATGAAAAAAACGTTTCGTCAAAGATCAAATCATACTTTATTCAGCAGTGCTTGCTTTACTCTTTGAAAGTCATCACATGAATGCATTGTAATGAATGGTTTGGCTGCATTAAACATTACACATCTGTCGTAGTTCTTTATTTATCTACAGAGATCGGGCCTCAGAATGGACCGGAAACTATTCTTTTACCGTTCGGTTTTAATTTCACAATAAAGTTAGTAGTAATAATTTGTTTTGATATTATTGTTTTTTATTAACTACTAGACCGCTGGGTCATGTTAAGATCATCTTTTCTGTGTTGCTGTGGGTTTTTTACATCGCTTTTGTGTTACAAATATCAAAACAATAACAGAATATATCCGTCGTAAACTAAACCAGAAACAGCAGTATATTTTATTTTGTTAACACTGTAAACTTGACAGCTTTTTAACCCGCACCTCCTACTGGTTAAAGCACGTTATTACACGTTTAGAGTAATTGCAATGCAGGTAGATTGGGTTGCTTTTTAATGACTGTTTTAAAATGCCTTTTTAAATGTCTTTCATTTTTGTAAAGCACTTTTGAATGTGTTATATTTGATGAAAACATTTCAATATTAAGAGTACATACTCTTAATATAGTGGGAAAGTGGAAGGTCAATGATATAAATAATATAGAATAGAAAATATCAAGAAGATACTGTAAGTGATCTCTACAATAAAACAGTTTAGTGCCTGATAGGAGGATGTGCAAAACAGACAAACTTATAAGGCTTTATTTAAACATTAAAGAATACTTTAGGTTAAGGTCTTCTTTTAAATAAGAAAAAAGCTTTGGGGGTATCTACAGATATTAAGCCTGACAAAGTACTTAACGTCTAATATATTGCATGGTTTGTTTTGGAACTTGACAATCAACTTTCCTTCAATGTTAACTATGTTGAAGCACTTATTTTAACTGATATTATACATATTAATTATACTCTTCTAAGATGTATGTAGATAGTATAAGAAATGTGCAGAATATGTTTAATGGTGGAGGTACACAGATATCGATAGATGTCTTGTGATGCACTGTTGATGAACCTGTGACCCAAGTGTTTCATTCATTGCATAACTACACCGTAGTTGTGTATATGATATGTCAATAAACCTTAGAACATCTTGAAATCTTGAAAGGGATGTGCAAAATAGCCATTATATACAGTTTTTAATGAACTATTAGTAGAGAATAACGAGTAATGAATATGCTTTATAGGGATCTGCAGATACATATTTAGTCTTCTCAAGCACCCACTACCAAATATCTCGCCTGATTGTTGGCTGAATTCACTGAATTTTACTCAGGTGTAACTAAAGTCTGATTTAAGGGTTGTTTATATTTCACATCATTAATCCAAATCTGTAAAGTAACTAAAATAAATGTAGTGGAGTAAAAATACCAGGTTAACCTTAAAGAAAGCCCTCAGGATTATAAAAGACCCCCATCACCCCACAAACTGTTCTGTCTGCTGCCGTCTGGCAGGCGGTACCGCAGCATCCGGACTAAAACCACCAGACTCAGGGACAGCTTCATCCCACAGGCCAGAAGACTATTAAACACCTGAACTTAGAAACAACATCCATAACATTCATCTGGCTGAAATTATTTATCTAATATATCATATTCAATCACTTGTATATAGACTCTTATTGCACTATTTCACTTTTTACTATTTTACTATTTTTCTTTTTGTATTTACTTGCACTATTTGTTGTGTGTAGCCTCTGTTTTATTGTGTTGCACTGTTGGAGGAGCCTGTGACCTAAGGGGGGGGGTAGGACACGTTCTAAGCACATGGTGTAGTCCTATAGCTGAGGATTCTGGGTAGTGTAGTGCCTTCTGCCATCCACACACTACGAACAAATATTTGTTTCTCCGAATCGAAAGGGGAAAATACAAAAGTATTGTACACAATTTAAACCAATCAATGTTGTGTAATTAACAAGGATAATCTGGTGTTTTTGAGTTGATGAGTAGTGCAGATATCACTGTAAATAAAATCAATGGACAGTAAGGAGAATACTTACTTCCGGGTGTAAAATGCTCTGTTATCCAATGGGAATGGACGCTCAGCTCTTAGGGTCCGTAATACAATAAAGGGTACTTAATCAAATAGGAATATAATTATCTTTTAAATAACGTTAACTAAAGGGAACAATCTCTTTGACACAGCTGAAGCTCTGGCCTTCCTTAAAAACTAACTCATTTAATAAAAATCACAGTTGTATTACACACAATGCATTGTTTTTTGAGAACAAACATTGGTGAATAATGCACCATAATACATTCTGACGAAAAATAAAAATTATTATGAATACAAATAAAATAAAAGAAGCCTCCTGTGAGTTACTACAAGCTATAAAGTAGATTTTAAAAACGTTTTATAGAATAAAAGCTCACTGCTGGACGTTGTAGAAATGCGTGTGTGCACCACGACAAAGGAGCCTCATTCACTTTACATTGGGGTTGTTTGCGTGGTGCAGACACGTAAATGTAGCAAAGTTCGTGACTCCACCACGCACTGCGGTGTTAAGGAGTCGTGGTGGAGTCACGCATTCTGGTGAGATCAGGTTGGTTCTTTTGTTTTGTTGTATTTGCTTTGTTTTATTGTTCTGTCTTTTAAATGTTTTTATTTGTATTGAAGTATTCCAGTAATATATGTTGCATGTTTTAAATGGATTGTATTTACTTGTTTAAAATGAAAAGTGTTTTAGGTTGACTTTTAAAATCTGTCCAGGGACTACAGATGAAAAATAGCCTCGTGGCTAACTGGCACATTTACAGCAATGTTAATTAATGTGCACTGTCCCTGTTAAATAAATGCATTTAAATATATATATATTTTAAAACCACAGCTTGAAATAAAGATATGTAGTCTCCATGAACTTAAAATAAGTGTCTCTATTTTTCTGTCAGTCTGTGATTGCATGTGGTGTACCACAGGGATCACTCCTAGGTCCTCTCACTTTGTCATTGGATTCAGTTTATCTCTGAGCACAATGTGATCATAGGTTCTATTGAAACAGCAGCTTGTGTTGTGGTGTTCAAGACCATTTTAATGTTGAGTATAAAGCAACATTCTTATTATGTTAAGATCATTTTAAACAGATTTCTCTCTCGATGAAACACCTCTCACTAATCTGACTTCACCTTAACGCCTGTCATTGTTATTGCTAAATTGTTGTACATTTCAATGTATGAGTCAGTGAGAAACACAAAGAGAACTAAATGTTTTAAATATGAGAAAAGTATTTTGATGGTTTAAAACGAGTAAAACATGATTCTCTGGCCCCGCCCACTGACGTTTATATCAACCAATGAGATGATTTGTGAGATGTTTGAGGAACTAAAAGCACAATCATCTGATGTTGAGGAGAAGGGCTGAGCAGCAGAGAGGCTGTTTCCTGCTTCACTTCTGCAGGAGGAGAACTCATCTGCTGACTGTTCGACTTTACCATCTCCAAAGACATGTTGCTTTACCTCTGGTTACTCTTCTCTCTCTTCATAGGTGAGTGTTGGAACAGAGATAAAGTCTCATTTAACCCGCTGTATTAGCCAGAGATTTCATAACTGGAGGTTTGATTGTGTAAGGCAGCAACCGTTGTGATCTATGAAGACATTTGGTCATGTTTGATCTCAAACTGATCAAAGATGACAGGAAATTGAAGACCCTCCGTTGAGTCTCTTAATGTTAAAATCTCCTGCAGACTAACTGACATGAATAATTCTCATTTTGCAGCCCTGGGCTCCATGAACAGCATAAAGCCAGAAAGAAGTGAAGAACATGTTGCAGAGGGCAGAAACATCAGCCTGACATGTAAATATGAGGGGGCTATCTACAATATCCAGTGGTACCGACAATACCAGAGATCCAGACCAGAGTTCCTGCTCTCCATCACAGAGGCAGGAGGGATCCATCCCACTGAATCTGATTTCTCTGCTCACATTGACAACACAGAGAAACGAGTTGATCTGGAGATCATCTCAGCTAAAGAGACAGACTCTGCTGTGTACTACTGTGCTCTGAGGCCCACAGTGACAGGAAACACCAACACTCTGTACAAAAACCTTTGGAGCAAAGACAACACAATACTGCACAACATCCACCAGAGGGAGCCTCTCTCTGTTAAACATCAATAGTTTGTGATGATACAGTAATGTAGTTTACATGCTTGATCATTTGAAATCTATTAACAATTGTGCACTACCATACAAACACATGTACTGCCTTTGATTCACATCCACAGGTTAAAATGTGTAACTCAATCAGTTAATCTGACCTGTTATCACAGATTAAACGTAATATGTAGTCTCCATGAATTTAAAATAAGTGTTTCTGTTTTTCTGTCAGTCTGTGATTTCATGTGGTGTACCACAGGGTTCAATCCTAGGTCCTCTCACTTTGTCATTTGATTCAGTTTATCTCCAAGCCCAATTTGATGAAAGGTTCTATTGGAACAGCAGCTTGTGTTGTGGTGTTCAAGACCTTTTAAATGTCGGATCTGAAGAAATATTTTTAATAGATTAAGATCATTTTAAACAGATTTCTCTCTCGATGAAACACCTCTCACTAATCTGACTTCACGTTAACGCCCGTCATTGTTACTTTTTTTTACTGACTGATCAAACACTTTAAATCACCTCTATCAATAAACTGGTACACATCACAGACTCAAGTTTTGATTGCTTTTGTTCTTATCTTTAAAAAATAAGTTACTCTGGTGGTCTGTAATTTAATGTGGTGTACCACAGGGTTCAATCCTAGGTCCTCTGACTTTTTATTTACAGACTGCCTTTGGATCTGTTACCCAGGAGGAAGTGTAACTGAGAGAAGTGAAATACAGATCTAAGAGGAGACAGAGAGATTCAGGGAGGAGCTAAGATGTTCCTGAACTATAGAAGAGAGAGGAACTTCCATATTCACCAGAGTTCAACACAGACCATCATCATCACCTTCATTCAACATGCTGTCATTAGACTATTATTTACATTCCCTACTGTTAGTTTCCATTCTAAGAGGTACGTAACATTCTGCATGAAAACGTTGACTTCTAATGTTGATCAAATGTGATCTATTAACTGAGTCTTTTGAATTACTCCTCTCTTCAGGGGTCAGCTGTGAAGATCTCACTGCATTACAGAAAGAAGAGTTCAGTCCAGAAGGCAGCTCTGTTACTCTGTCCTACAGATACTCCAAGGTTGCTGAATTGGATGATTATTTCTTCTGGTATCGACAATATCCAGGAAAACCACCAGAGTTCCTCATCCTTCAGTGGGGAACAAAACCTGCATCAAACTCTCGACTGTCCGTTAAATCGGATGAGGATAAAACCCAGATCTATCTGAGCATCTCCTCTGCTGCAGTGACAGACTCTGCTGTGTACTACTGTGCTGTGAGGCCCACAGTGACAGGAAACACCAACACTCTGTACAAAAACCTTTGGAGCAAAGACAACACAATACTGCACAGCATCCACCAGAGGGAGTCTTGTTTATAATTGCAATCGTATACGGGTATTCTGCTACCATACAATGTAACTTGCATGAATACATTGTTTTGCGCTAGCATACAGCTAGCCTCGTTAGCTACATGCAGTATATGTACTGTCACAATGTACGGTAAATCACCCGGAGTATACTGTATGAGTATTCCGTGTGTGTGACTGCAGACATTCTCCTGCCATGACAAACATGTAAGGCCATCTGCTGACATTGTAGTTGATATATTTAAACGCTAGCAACGTAGCATCACAAAAATGTTTTTCCGACCAAAACTAGCTCTAGCTCCGTGTGTTAGATCGCTACGCCAGCTATAATGTAATTACGTTTCGCGACTGACCGCACGGCAAATCACCCGGAGTATACTGTCAATAGGTATTTTGTGTGTGAATGCAGACATTCTCCTGCTATGAGATACATGTATGCAAGGCCATCTGCTGATATTAGAGTTGATATATGGAAACTCTAGCAACTTAGTTAGCACAGTTAGCACTGTGTCAATGGCTTAGCAGTCCAACACAGTTTACACATTTAAACAGTCTTGTTTGATAAATACACAAATAACAATGCAAACTTACAGGTTGTGTACCCGAATCTTCCCCTGCTCCAAACGGTCCAAACAAGCTGTGCATATCCGGCCTCAAACTGGGCAATGTTTTGGAAGCTTTCGTCTGTGAAATGCCGGTTCTTCGAACCTCTGGAGGAGGAACACGCCGCTGCTGGTGTGGCCATAGCTCTTCGGGATTGGTCCATTTCGTTCCTGGTACCGCATGACATCAGGCGGTACCCGGAAGAATCAAATGGGCAGTGACGTATCTCCAACGAGGCGTTTTGGGGAGGTATTTTCTGTGTTAGAGTTTTACTCGCTACAGGGTGTACTTTGAGGGTTTTGACTCTGCACACCGTTTACATGCATAAAAACCTTCATAACACACAAGGGGACGGGTAATAACCGGAAAAGCATGACATGGGAGCTTTAAGCACCAAGCCTGTTTTTCATGTTTCAGGCTCGAAAATGACATGCCCAAAACAAATGACTACAAGTTAACTTCTAAAAGGATTATATGAATAATTTCTTTTATCAAAGCAAGGTTACATCTGTGAGTTGGATGTAGAAGTGTCAGAATCAATATAGATGTTTTTTATTTTAAAGAAAATTCAGATTTTACATAGTAAAAAACTGTAAATTATAGTGTCCGTCCAAAAATTCTTTTTTACAGATAGTGAAAACTACCCTTGGATGATGGGTTAGTAGACTTAAGGCCCCTACACACCAGGCAGTCACCAGAGAACTCGCCGACATCCGACACCGACAGATCCATCGACGAGTTCTCCTGCGTCTTGGCCGTGTGTACACTGAAATACACCGCTTTACTACAGCCGAGCACGTACGAACTGCGCATGCGTGAGTGGCAATAACTCTCCTTACCAGCAGCCGGCGGTAGTGTGTATTCGTCATTCAAAATAGGCAACAACCGGAAGACAGAGAAGAAGAACAGACTGATATACAAACAAATAGCGGCGGGTGCCGTTCCATTTTCACTCTCGTCCATCGAAAACATGTTTTAGAATATAAAAATACATGCATGATGAAATGAGCACATAAAGTGCAGACAGACTATAACATCACAGTTAATAGACCTGCATCTGATGATCGCAGTGTTCTGGCGGGTGTGTAGTTTATTGAGTCAGTAATGTAATAATGGCCACTTCTTGCTAAATTTACGATGAGATGAAAAACCGGACTTGACCAAACAAATCACGGAGCTCTCAGCAGAGGACAGCCGGGGACGCTCCCGCCGATATCAGAGATGTCCCTGCTATGTGTGGGAGGTAAGAGAGGACATTTAAGGGCTATGTTTGATGTCTTTAAGTATCACCTGCTGGTGTTTAGCTGCTGTCTTGTGCCTTAAATCGTTTGTTTACGTCCCTCACTTCCGTTTCGCTTCTCATTTGCAAGCTGAACAGCTGATCAGAGTGGTTTCTTGGCCCGATAGCTTGTGTCCAACACCCGGCCGATTGTCGACCGTGAAAGGCCAAATAAGGCGTGTCACGGCCGAGGGTTCGGGACACACCAAATTGAATTTGGGCGACAAGGAACCCGTTTTCGCCCAACAACGCAAGACGGCCGATATCGGCCTGGTGTGTAAGGGCCTTAAAAGCTTTAGGAATCCAAAGTACAACATATAATAAGTACCCTGTATCAAGATTGATGCAAAACAAGTGACATTTGACCTTTTTAGAGAGGTTTAGCCAAAACCACCCCACCTCTGAGGTGATTTGGGTGAAAATGTTTTCTTTTCCATATCTCTGGCCTTGCTCGATTTTGATGGTTGACACCTCTTTCTGACCGTTAGAGCCAATAGAATCGAAGGGGGAGGCCCCCAAACACACACGTTGTGAAGAGAAGAGGTGGGGGCTGCGCGCATGTAAATTTGCAGCAGAGTGGACCGATCTCTCGCTCTGACATTTGGAAATGAAAAAGCAGTTTTATTGCTTATGGATTATCAGAAATAATTTCAAAGAGGGCACAGATACATTCGATTAACCTATGGATTGACTGCAGCATCGTTTTTTTATCGTTTTAATGCCATTGAAGACCAGTTTTGACCAAGGTAAGCCATGTTAGCGTTTCTAGCTACCTAGCTCCACATGTTATGATGTACGCTTTCGTTTATAGCGTCGCAAATGTATTCACCCCTTACGGCGCCCCTGCGTACACATGCCGCAGTTTTTGCGTGGCTGTGTCTTTCGTTGTAAGCCCAGTGGCATCTGTTCATCTGACATATGATCATACAATAATGCCATGGAAAATAATATGCTACATTACAGTTCAACTGTTGATAAACATCAACAGTTAGTGATGATACAGTAATGTTGTTTACCTGCTTGATCATTTGAAATCTGTGAACAATTTTACCATAGAAACACATGTACTGCCTTGATTCAAGTAGTCTCCATGAACTAAAAATAAGTGTCTCTAATTTTCTGTCAGTCTGTGATTTGATGTGGTGTACCACAGGGTTCAATCCAAGGTCCTCTCACTTTGTCATTGGTTTCAGTTTATCTCAAAACCCAATGTGATCGTAGGTTCTATTGGAACAGCAGCTTGTGTTGTGGTGTTCAAGACCTTTTCAATGTTGGGTATGAAGTACAATTCTTATTAGATTAAGATCATTTAAAACAGATTTCTCTCTCGATGAAACACCTCTCACTAATCTGACTTCACGTTAACGCCCGTCATTGTTATAGCTACGTTTTTTTTACTGACTGATCAAACACTTTAAATCACCTCTCTCAATAAACTGGTACACATCACACACTCAAGTTTTGATTACTTTTGTTCTTATCTTTATAAAATACAATTCTCTGTTGGTCTGTGATTAATCGTGGTGTACCACAGGGTTCAATCCTAGGTCCTCTGACTTTTTATTTACAGACTGCCTTTGGATCTGTTACGCAGGAGGAAGTGTAACTGAGAGAAGTGAAATACAGATCTAAGAGGAGACAGAGAGATTCAGGGAGGAGCTAAGATGTTCCTGAACTATAGAAGAGAGAGGAACTTCCATATTCACCAGAGTTCAACACAGACCATCATCATCACCTTCATTCAACATGCTGTCATTAGATAATTGTTTAATTTTTTTATTTTTAGTGTCCGTTCTAAGAGGTATGTAACATTCTGCGCGAAAAAGTTGAATTACAGATTAATTTAATGCGATTTATTAAATGAATACTTTGAATTACTCCTCTCTCCAGTCAGCTGTGAAGATCTCACTGCATCAAAGCCAGAAGAGTTCAGTCCAGAAGGCAGCTCTGTTACTCTGTCCTACAGATACTCCAAAACTATAGCAGCTAATGATTATTTCTACTGGTATCGACAATATCCAGGAGAACCACCAGAGTTCATCTTCTCTCATTTAGGAACTGGAAACATTATGTTGAATCCAGTTTCTGGACTGTCTGCTGAAGTGAGTGAGGATAAAACCCAGGTCTATCTGAGCATCTCCTCTGCTGCAGTGACATACTCTGCTGTGTTCTACTGTGCTGTGAGGCCCACAGTGACAGGAAACACCAACACTCTGTACAAAAACCTTTGGAGCAAAGACAACACAGTACTGCACTACATCCACCAGAGGGAGTCTCTCTCTGTTCACCTTCAGCAGGATGTGATGATACAGTCTAGATTAGATTCTCTCAGACTCACAGCTGTGATGAAGAGCTCCAGAAACTCATTGGACATCTGAGTCTCCTCCTGCTGACTGCAGAGCTTCATGACTGACACCTCTCTGATTCCAGCTGTGAACATCAGACCAAACACAACTCACTAAACGTTTCCATACTGAACAACCACAGCTTTCCCCTCTGTGAACATGGAGAAACTGGCTGCAATTCTGCTCTGTTCAGCTCTCATAGGTACGTATGTTTCTGACAGGAGAAGGGGAAATATGAAGACTTTTTCAAAGCATTACACATCCACTTTGGATTTTGGATAAACGCTTTACAGGAGTGTTGTTTTTTCACTAAGGAATTGATGGGTTTGTGACTTTGGAGCTGTAATGATAGCATGATGTTTTCCTCACTAGGTAACAGCTTGGAAGATGATATTACTGCCATCAGTGCTGAAGTGTGTTCCTCAGAGGGCCGTAGTGTTACTCTGTCCTGTACATATTCAGTTAAAGCTGATAACCTCCAGTGGTACAGACAGGATCCTGGATCAGCTCCTCAGTTCCTCCTCCTGATCACTGACATAACACAGCCTTACGTGGTGGAAGCAAAACCTCCAATCCCTCGACTGAATGCCACACTGAACTTGGAGAGAAATCAAGTGGATCTGCAGATCTCCTCTGCTGCAGTGACAGACTCTGCTGTGTACTACTGTGCTCTGAGGCCCACAGTGACAGGAAACACCAACACTCTGTACAAAAACCTTTGGAGCAAAGACAACACAATACTGCACAGCATCCACCAGAGGGAGTCTCTCTCTGTTAGACTTTAGAGAAACAACACAACTAATGCTCAAACAACTCAACCCCCAGCAGAGAGGCATCTTTTATTTGATGCTTCAACACCACGTTACTTTAATTTATCTCTCACATTTATTCTAATACTTTTTAATGAGAGCATTCCACCATGTGCCAGACTCCTGATGGACCTTCACCAACACTTCCTGTTATTCATATTTATTCCAACAGGCCCTCAAAACTGCAGTCTTCAAACCACTCTTAAAGAACTACCTAGGCGCTTCACTGATGAACATTTATAGGCCGGGTAAAATAATAAAAAAGTTCAACAGCTAAAAAGCTGTTTTGGCACTAAATAACTGTTTTGATGTGTTCCAGTCACACAGCACTGAGACTGCTCTAATTAACGTTTATAATGACATCCACTTAAACACAGACAGTGGCAGAATCTCACTGTCAGTATTATTAGATCTCAGCGCTGCATTTGAAACTGTTGAACACAACATATTACTAGACCGACTGGAAAACTGGGTGGGACTCTGGCACTGTTTGTATTGGTCTGAATGCTACTTAACAGACAGGAAAAACGTTGTTTCTATAGGTAACTAAACAACTGAGTTGACGAATAGGACATGTGGCGTTCCTCAAGGCTCCATCCTGGGGACTCTTCTCTTTAACATCTACATGCTTCCACTAGCTTAGTTCATGGATAACAATGAAATAAGTTACCATAGCTATGCAGACGACACACACGTGATAACATGAAAAAAGAAATTGAGAGAAGTGAAATACAGATCTAAGAGGAGACAGAGAGATTCAGGGAGGAGCTAAGATGTTCCTGAACTATAGAAGAGAGAGGAACTTCCATATTCACCAGAGTTCAACACAGACCATCATCATCACCTTCATTCAACATGCTGTCATTAGACTATTATTTACATTCCCTACTGTTAGTTTCCATTCTAAGAGGTACGTAACATTCTGCATGAAAACGTTAACTTCTAATGTTGATCAAATGTGATCTATTAACTGAGTCTTTTGAATTACTCCTCTCTTCAGGGGTCAGCTGTGAAGATCTCACTGCATTACAGAAAGAAGAGTTCAGTCCAGAAGGCAGCTCTGTTACTCTGTCCTACAGATACTCCAAAACTATAACGGCTAGTGAAGATTTCTTCTGGTATCGACAATATCCAGGAAAACAACCAGAGTTTCTTCTCTACATCTCAGGAACAAGTTTTACAAGACTAGCAGAGTCTCTGAAATCAGACACAACGTTCTCTTCTAAACTGTCTGCAGAAAAGAACATAGATCTGAGCATCTCCTCTGCTGCAGTGACAGACTCTGCTGTGTTCTACTGTGCTGTGAGGCCCACAGTGACAGGAAACACCAACACTCTGTACACAAACACCAGCTGACACACTGACAAGCTGCTGGAAGCCTTTTCTCCACACTGTTGTACTGAGCTGTTCACCTCCACTAGAGGGCCACATTATCAAGTAGGCGGTGCACGTCTTCTGCACTGTGTTCAACCATCCAGTCAATAAGAAGTGCTGCTGTGAAGAGAACCATCCTCACACTGAATGCTGAACATCAGCTACTTCCTGCTGCTGATTTAAACCTTGTTGTAGAGATGGAACATTGGCTGTGGATTATTCTTGCTGCTCTCTCCTTTGGTAAGATAGAAACTACAACATGTTTCTAGGTAACTGTTTAAAGCTACTGATTGTTCTCCTTTAATCCATCATCTTTATTGATTCATCTCTTCCTCTGCATGGTCTCTTCTTCCCCAGAGTGTAAAGGACAAGACACAGTGACCCAGCCAGCAGGAGATGTCAGCGCTACTGAAGGAGACACAGTTACACTTGGCTGCACATTTCATATCAGTGGCACATATCCCTATCTGTTCTGGTACAAACAAGAAGTCAATGGTTACCCAAAGTACATGCTGAAGCGTTTCTCAGGAGGTCGAGATAATGCTGCAGAGTTCAAGGAAGACAGATTTGATGCTACACTCAATGACAAATCAGTTCCTTTGCAGATCTCCTCTGCTGCAGTGACAGACTCTGCTGTGTACTACTGTGCTCTGAGGCCCACAGTGACAGGAAACACCACAACTCTGTACAAAAACCTTTGGAGCAAAGACAACACAATACTGATCAACATCCACCAGAGATTCTCTCTGAAAAACTCCAACAGTATATTACAAAACAGTGTAGACTCTTTGTGACGGTGATACACAAATAAGTGCTTGAGGTAAACATACTGAGGGAAAGGGTTTTTTCATACGACATGTACTCTGATGATAATGACATTTTGTAAAACTTTACTTTCATTCTTAACAATACCTCATCATAACCGAATCTTAAAAATGTGGGAGGGAGTTAAACATCAATAGTTTGTGATCATACAGTAATGTAATTTACCTGCTTGATCATTTGAATTATACTGTGTGTAAATATCACTATTATACAAACACATGTACTGCCTTTGATTCACATCTGCAGGTTCAAATGTTTAACTCTTTTATCACAGGTTGAAATAAAAGTAAGTAGTTTCCATTAGTGATGGGAATTCCGGCTATTTTTAGTGAGCCGGATCATTTGGCTCGGCTCACCAAGAAGAGCCGGCTCTTTCGGCTCCCAAACGGCTCTTCATTTTACCACATATATATATATATAGAAATTCATTTATTGGGATAAACCCCTTGAGATGCACCATCTCGTTTTCAAGGGGGTCCCGAATATATACCTTTTATAATATATACCTTTTATAATTCAGTCAAATGTAGCCCTATTTTGACTAATGATTTATATATGTGTACACTAGGGGTGTAACGGTTCACAAACATTTCGGTTCGGTACGTACAGTACCTCAGTTTTAAGGTCACGGTTCGGTACGTACAGTACCTCAGTTTTAAGGTCACGGTTCGGTACGTTTTCGGTACAGCAGAAAAAATGATCTCAAAACATAAAATATTTGTTGGGGTTTTTTAATTATTATTAAACTGTAAATAATGTATTCACTCAAATAAATACAATATATAATAACATAAACATTAAGGTGCAGCATTTCGATGAACTGAAATAATCTGTATTTGAACTGCAGTGTACTAGTACTCCCCTAAGCAGCCAGCTTGACATTAGGACTTGCTTGCTTGTCATTGTATTTTTTTGGAAGTATTCGATGTTCTCGCGCCCAGGAGAGGAGCTTAGAATGAAGAGACTAATGGAGTCTCCGAAAAGGTTCAAATTGGTTGAGTTTAATTAAATGGCACGATGATACAACAAGCAGAGGGTAAGGGAAAAAAAGACAAAGCCGGTGATGTCTCTTGTGAGGCTGCAGCGAAGAAGAAGTCTCGTCTTCTCCTCCCCGATCTCCTTTATCTTCTTCTCGTTCCCTCCCGCTGTGCAGATAGGGGGTACGCCCTCCTCGGTCTTCGATGTTCGACATCGCGTAAAAACAGAGGACTTCAACATTCTGTATTCCCTGCCTACTTCCTTAAGCCTTTTCTCTTCCTTATCTCTGTCATGACTTTCTATTTAATACCTTATAAACAGCTGTAATAGTTTAAAACATTGTTAGCGACATGCTACATACTGACCGGATATGAAGGATTTTCAGAATAAAAGCTTGGCATTGACATTTTATGAGAACTTCCGGTTTTTTTCACAATAAAACAGCTTTTAAACTGACGATATATTTTAGACTAATTATGCTATTAAACATTGATTTTAATTTCTAACAATTTTCATGTTTTTTTAAAGAAAGATGAACTTGTCCACATTGCTTGCCGAAAGGGCAGATCTGCGGGCACTAACAATGTCTCCTGCTGTGGAGAACACCCTCTCTCTAGGGACAGAGGTAGCAGATACAGCCAGGTAGCGCTTTGCTAACATGGCAACATAAGGATATTTGGCGTTTGTAATAGCTTTGGCTCGGTCTGAACTTTTTGCGAGTGGTGGAGGCTTAAATGCTAGTGGGAGTTGGGTTTGCACTTCAGTCTTTTTTCTTTTGGTACCGGTGATATTCACATTCGGGTGATGCCTTTTCAAATGAGTGTGCAAGTTTGATGTATTGCCAGCCGCGTAACCAATGTTAGTTGAACAATGCCGACAAACAGCTTTGGTTCGGTCCACCTGTCTCTCTCCGTCATCCTTGTACGTAACTGTGAAACCAAAACGTTCCCAAACCGGAGACTTCAATGATGCTGGAGGATTTTCGAGCTCAACTTTATCTGCGTTCGCCATTTCGACAGTTCCTCAAATGACTGACTAAATTTGAACGCATCCCTGTGACCAGCTCTCATAGTATGCCTCTCGTCCAATGAAATGACTTGGTTGCTCTATGACGCGTTGAACCCAATGGGAGAAAATTACACTGAATGCTGCGACGCAGCACCTGAGATTACTTCCAAAAAGTTGTTCACGTTCTCAATTTTTTACGTTTAACGTTATATTCGTTCGGTACACTTCGGTACACACGTGTACCGAACCGAAGGGCCCATACCGAATAATTTCGATACGAATACATATACCGTTACACCCCTAGTGTACACATATATCACTTAAATTATTCAATATATCCTGAATAATTTATTGAATAATACAGTATTCAATACATTATTGAAAAATGTTATTTTTAATATAAATGATTTGCTGTGGCCAATTGCATTTACAGACCCTTGTAACTCTCTGACACAACCCAATGAATGCACTGACTTGCTTGTAGAACCACGCTACACAAAGCAGATAGCAACACCTGTAACAACGTAAGCATAGACATTTAAAAATTGTATTTAAAGAAAAAGCCCTAACAAAACAGCAGGGCTCTATTTCACTATTAAATAAAGAAAAAAAGACAGCAGACAGCTGAACTCAAATCTTTGCTGAGCCTAAAGATAATCATAAATAAATAACATAGTGAAAATAAATATATTGCAATGCTCAAAACAGCAACATCCAACAGTCTCTAATCCTTGGATATTACATGTCACTGCATGCATGCATTCACGGAGCACCCGTAACGCAGAGATCATCATATAATTCTGTCTTGTATTACTTAACGAGAAAAAAAACGAAAAAAAACTTCTCGTTCGCGGGCACGAGCCGGCTCCCGTCGTTCACTTAAAAGAGCCGGCTCTTTCGCGACCGACACAACACTGGTCTCCATGGACTTAAAATATGTTTTTCTGTCAGTCTGTGATTTCATGTGGTGTACCTGTGAGGATTTGCAGTTCTCCCTCCTTCTGTTCCCCTTTGTTTTGTGTTTGTTATTGTCTGTCTGTCTGTGTGTTTGTCTTCCTGGCTGGGCGTGGCTGACCCACTTCTGATTCCCGCCAACTCACCTCCTCAGCTGCTGCTCGTCATCCTGATTACAACTACTCACCTTCACCTGCATATATACCCGGTTTCTTCACCCAGTATTCACCAGTTCGTTATTTCACCACGCTGGTAAACGTCTTGGTCTTTAGCTATTAGCAAAACTAAACTCTCTTTGTTCCTGTTTATCCTTACCCTTTGCTCTCTTTTGTTCAGTATCCATCTGCCTGCTCCTCTGCCTGCCACGTCCAGCCACCAACCCCTCGTCTGTGTTCCTCTGTGCTTCCACGTACACCTGCTCCAGCCTGCTCGCTCTTGCCAGCTCCGGATCCCCGGCTTCGGACCTCCCCTCCTCCTCTGGAGACACTCCCTGGTCCTGGATTTTGTGGATTATCCAATCCCTCCGTTGTCAGTATAAAACGGTTTTGGACAATAAACCTTTTTGCCTCATAAACTCTGTCTCCTCTCCATCGTGTTCAGCATTGTGGGTTCACTCCTGTAAGCTCTCGGAGAGCGTAACAGTACCACAGGGTTCAATCCTTGGTCCTCTCACTTTTTCATTGGATTCAGTTTATCTCTAAGCACAATGTGATCATAGGTTCTATTGGAACAGCAGCTTGTGTTGTGGTGTTCAAGACCTTTTAAATGTTGGGTATGAAGCAACATTCTTATTAGATTAAGATTATTTAAAATAGATTTCTCTCTCGATGAAACACCTCTCACTAATCTGACTTCACGTGAACGCAAGTCATTGTTATTCCTACGTTTTTATTTACTGACTGATCAAACACGTGAAATCACATCTCTCAATAAACTGGTACACATCACACACTCAAGATTTGATTGCTTTTGTTCTTATCTTTATAAAATAAGTTACTCTGGTGGTCTGTCATTTATTGTGGTGTACCACAGGGTTCAATTCTAGGTCCTCTGACTTTTTATTTACAGACAGCCTTTGGATCTGTTACCCAGGAGGAAGTGTAACTGAGAGAAGTGAAATACAGATCTAAGAGGAGACAGAGAGATTCAGGGAGGAGCTAAGATGTTCCTGAACTATAGAAGAGAGAGGAACTTCCATATTCACCAGAGTTCAACACAGA